TAATTCCCCATTGAATTTCCCTGGGCATTTTGCACTTGTAAGACAGAACACTAACATTTAATTAATATTGCTTCATGCTTTTGTCATGTTGCACCCATTCAGTAAGGAGGAGTTCTGTCTCATTTATGCTGTTTTCAAGTTTATTTTTATTAATATATTGCTCTTCTTGTTTGGAAATGGAAGCTTAACTTATACATTGTATATTTGGTTAATGTTTGGTTCTCAGATCTTAACAGTGCTGGACATAGTGATCCCACTTTCACAGCTGTTTGCTATGTTTAATGAAGGTGTCAGAGTGATGAAGGGTAATTCCAAAGATGATAAACCAGTCAAGACATATAAATATGAGGATAGTGGAAAAACAGACAGTCCTGGTGAGTGAAATTCGTGCTTTTCTGAGTGAATTTGTAAAACAATGGACACTGTATTTATTATTCAGTCAGAGTGTTGTCATTTGCAATTTATACTCTGTGACAGAACTGAATGCATAAGTGGAATTACAATATATCCCTAATTCTGAGTTCAAGAGGTTATGATTATATATGCTGTTCATACTTCAGACTTAAAAATTGTTGAGTGTAATTTTTACAAGTAAAAGTTTCATAAGTGCTCTTGTTACCTATGCCATGTTTGTCTGTCTATCTTAGTTAGTTTTATTTGAAATGAAAGCTTTGCTTTTATTACATATAGTTAAAGATATGGATGATATATCTCCATCTCCTGTAAGAGAAGATTCATCAGGAAACACATCTGGTCTTTCTGATGATGAGGCTCCAACTTCACGACATGTTGAATTTGAGACAGATGCTGAGCTTACCTTGTCATGCTACATCCTCATGTTGGATGTTCTGCTCAGACAGGTTAGTTAAATATAAGATGATAATGCATGAGTAAAAGCATGGTAAAGTATTGGTCTTTTATATTCTGATGAAATATTGCAACAACACAAATTCACCCTACATCTTGCTGATGAAGGATTGACTAAGTTTCTAGCTTTGCTGCAGTTTTTTATATCCTTTGCTACCAAATTTTTAAGTGAAATTAAGCAGTTGCATTGTTAATGACACATAAATTCATTCAGTGTTAGAATATGTTTTACATTTGTAGATGTAATAAAATCCAAATAATAGTGTATAGTACTTCAGTTGAATCAGTGTAAATTACTCAATAGATTTTAAGGTTAAAAAAGGAAAGTATGATATGCCCTTTCTTTATGGTGTGTATATCTTTCTTCATATTGTGTTCTAGGTATTTTTCCACTTGTTTGAAAATCAGTTTATAATACAGATTGGCATTAAAATGTATTTATATATATGTATGTGTAGATGGAACTACAGGAGGTGGAGAAGCATAATGGTGTGCACACTTCTTTGGCAGAAGATGTTAGTCAGCTACTAAAGTTAATGGTGTCATCTTCGTGGGTTGGTTCCCACTCATGTGCCTCCAAGAATGATTGTGTATTCTGTGAGTCTAGTGTCATGTGGCACCAGTTAGCACTACAGCTGGTAGAGTTTCTATCACCTGATCATCCAGTCAACCCTCCTGATGTAAGTAATACTTCTACCTCTATTAGTCACCAAAGTTCAGAATTTTTAATAAAATATTTTATATGAATAATGCAGTATTCCCTTGCTAAATGTAGGAATAACATTCCAGCAGTCTGAATTTGGCAGTTTCCTGCCATCAGTAGTACCAACAATGCAGTTGTGTTAACTTGTGGTAGAAATATTAGTTGAGAGGTTCTGATTGATAAAATATCTCTGGAAAACATGCAACTTCTGTTCAGATAACTTTTCAATAAAGTGGAAAATACTAATTTAGTGACTGTAGAGTCCATGCTTCCATTTAGGTTTCATGGTGACACTGTTAAATTGTTGCTTGTATTTGTGTGGAATTTGATATTATGTTTTTAATAGGTCAAAGAATTCACCTGGATTATGTTTTCTGTGTTTAAAATTACAACTTCAACCTTTGATGTTATGGATAACAACCTTTAGACATTTATTCAAAGGATATATAATGTTATGGTGTAATAGTCATTTAAACATTCTTTTACTATTTATTCTCAAAATGTGCCACATCTAATTGACCTCTATAAGAAATCATCTCACAATTATTACAGTCATATATAGAGGAACAAGCTGGTGAAGAAGGTGGCCACGGACGCAAGAGCCCACCAGAATCGGAAAAGAAGTCAGAACCAAAGCCAGATGTTGTGATCAACATGCCAATCCCCGAGTTCCATAGTGTAGGTGTGGTGCTGATGCACGTGCCTCATGTACGTCCACTCTGCTTCTACTTGGCACAGTCTTGTTCTTTATTTGCATCACTGGCTGCTGTCTATGCACTGGGAAGAAAAATGACTTTTGTAGATGCAAAATTCCTAGATACTGCATTAAAATAGACAATTTTACTGTAATAAAGCAAGTAATATAAGAAATAAGAATAAAATATAATCAGTTTAATATGTGTGATTCTTCTGTAAGAAACTTTAATAGAAACAGAGAAATGTGGTTTTGAAACATGTGTGTTCACATTCAAAGTTTCTCAGCACTTTCTCATACTTGAAATGGATTATGACAGTTTCCTTCTACTTGTTAATCGTAGTCATCCAGTGCCTCCCTATGATACTGCATAACATGCACACTTAATACAGTATTATTAAATAACTGACAAATATTTTCTATCACAGTAACCTTATAATTCCATACAGATATAAATAAAAGTCAAAGTTTACTTTGAATGTGTCCTGTCTGCAGAAGAAGGATTTATGTTTATTTCCAGTGGTGTGAAAACTGATATTTTGTATCTACAAAAGTTCATGCAAAGTACTTCCAAAGTAAGGAGCTTCTCATTTTTGTGTCGCTTTGTGAGAATGGTGCCTTTAATTTGTTTTTTGATCATATTACCATCATTAAAATGACGTTTCATCTTTCTTATATGTATTATTCACACAACCAGTTTTCATCATCATCACCACCAGTATCAACAGCAACATTATTCATCAAACATGTGGTTTTGGAACAGAAAACAGTTTTAGAACAAGTAATATCCTGTAAAGTCAATAAAAGCTACAATGAAAAGCTTCCAAAAAATAAGGCCTGAAGGATATATAAGGCAACAAGTATTTTGTTCATATAGTGAATTCCTTTGGCAAGGTAGCAACTGTATGGACAAAACATTTACGCCCATGCTTAATCATATTAGCTATTCTGGCAACTTCCTGGTGAAATCTGTAGTGATTTACAAAAAATTTATTTCATTTTTTTGTAATTTGTAGTTTATATTAATACTACCACAGGAAATTGTCTTTATGTTTGAAACTTACATTACATTTGTACATTCTAGTTCAAGCTAATTGGAAAATGTTTACAAAATTAATGTCCAAACAAAGCTTTCATGAAGTCTGAACTATGTTAATCATTTAACAGTTTCTCTTTCATCTTTTGTTGCTTATGATATATTCCTCGCATATGTTTTGATTGGCTTCTGTTAAATTTTCTCTTTTATCTTCCATATCGTGTGATACTTTCTTTGCATTTGTTTCTGTTTTTCTCTAGTCAATGTGCCCCTGCCTATCTGTTTCTTCTTTTCTTCTCTTTTTTACCCTTTTCTGTTTTGCTCTAGTCTGATCTTCCTGTGTTCTTCAGTTTACTCTGATCTTCTCTTGTATCTCTGTTTCTTTTATGGATTCTCTTTTTCTTATACTGGTTCTTTACTGGTTTCCTTTTAGTGTTTTTGGTGAGTTTTTACTTCCCTTTGAAATAGTTCCACTGTTGTTATATGGAAGAAAACCTCATTTGATGGCAAAAGCATTGTAATGGCCTTGTCTTGTTCTCACCTGTAAATTTTTGAAACAAATCTCACTAGCTGGTGCAGAAATAACTGTAGCTCGTGCTGTGTCTGATTATAATAGAAAATTTCAACTGAAATTCTGTAAATGAGGTATATAGGTAACATTTTTATGTGTTCTGCAACTTCTCATGTAAGCTTTGAGTTTTGTTGTGATATTAAACAGATTGACCCCACATGGTTTTATTCCTTCCCCTCATAAATTCATAGAAATCGTTCTCATCCGAAGGAATGTAGACTAGAATGGATGTCTTGTGATCTTGTAAAAATCAGTATGAAATTATTATGTTTTTGCACAGTGAGAATAAAATTCACATACAGTGGGAAGCTGGTGTCTACATATGTCTTGTCTGTGGTACTAATAAACAAATTTTAGATGAATTCTCTTTTGATTGCCCACACCCACATTTGTCCAGCACTTTTCATATTGGTTCATATTGGTGAAGTATAAGCTTTATTTTATATGAAGCTTGAATTTATCTTTCTAGAATTGTTATTTGAATCATTTTCTACATGGAATTAATTAAATGAAATATAAATTAAGATTATGCATAGTGATGTATGTATTGTGCTCAGATTTACAATACAATTGCATGTGCAATAATATACCTGTCTACAGTAAATGAACATAGGCCACTCAGGTATGTAAAATCATAAAAACGTGTTTCAAAATTACATGTCCTCCAAATTGGAGTACACTTTCCAACCCTGTTTTGACTGTTGCTTGTAGTATAGTATCATAGACAGGGATTATTATAGCCAAGTATAACTGAATTTGGTTATGTTAACTTCAGTAACATGGCCTTAATGAATTACAGCAGTATTATATGCAGAGTGTAAAAAGTAGTGAGTACTTCCTGTATTTACAGATAATGACTGCAACTGTTGAGACTGTGACTGAGCAGCTGGACCTTGCACCTATTATCCCTGCTGAGAAAGTTGTTGCTGCAGTAGCAAGAGCCGTCACCATTACCGACACTGATGTTGGTAAGTAGCAGACTTATACGTAATAACATGTAACTTAGTAAAATATTCCACAGACTATGAGAACTGATTACTTTTAAATGTAGATTTTGTTTATATTACGAGTCATATTTATTATATTATGTATGTAAAACAGGATATGCCTTTCATCTGGTTCATATTAATTGGCTTATGTTTCGTGTGACTAAAGGTGTTGGATACCATTAGCTCAAACAAGATGTCAAACACCAGCTGCCTACCAGCTTTTATGGGATTTTCTTTTTAAATACATTGAATAACATTAAATGTTGTTGATTTTGCAATATTCAGATGACAGTTTCAGAGATCTTTTGTTTCCTTCATTTTATCTAGACGTCCTCATGCATGAATGGAGAGAGGATATTTTTCATTTATTCAAAATGCAATCCATGAATAACCTAATCTGTAATTGTGAACTGTAGCAACAGCTACAGCACAGGTTGCTCGCCCAACTCTGGTTGGAGAGAATGATCAGCCAGTTGATCCTGGGCCTGAAGAAATATTGGATGACTTTTGGCACACATCTGTTGGGAAGTTTCGCTTTACACTAGATGAACTGCCTCAGCATTTACAACTGCTCCATGAGCTTCTCAAGGTTAGTCATATTTGCTTAAATTGATCCTTTATGTTGTTTTGCTGAGCTACTATTTCAAGTCTGATGAACACTATTAGAATCATTAAATTAATTAGGATAATTTCTTATATTTATTCTGTTTATCTAAAGTGTGGTAGTTCTGAAATAGAAAATGTCTTGACATAGTTAATATATTTCAATTACAAGCATCTAGACAAATTCCATACTTAATACCAACCTCTGCTAATTACTTGGAAGCTAACTATTTATTATCTTCTCCTGTTTTCTGTTTACTGATATTTGTGTTGAACAGGAGCTGCCAAATGTAGATGAACCAGACATTTTATACTACATGCTGCAGTGTCTGCACATACTCTGTCTTCATGGTGATGCACTCACCAAAGCATCTAAAGATCACCTGGGATTTATTATTTGGTGTCAAGAAAATTTACTCATTAAAAAGTGAGTTTATACATTTGTTAGCCTGTTATTTATGTACAATTTTTTCAGTAGCTGTAATGAATGTTCTGTATAAATATTTTGCTCCATAGAGAATGAATGTATGCAGCAAATTTTTAATTCATTGAAATGTGCAGTAGTTATATAAACATTTAATCACTGGTTGCATGGGTATATACAGACCTTAATTCATTCTTGTATTACAATGAAGTAAAGGCATTGTACTGACCTTTTGTTGGAAAAGAGAAAGAACTTGCTTTCTAATGAGAGAAAGCACAACTAATATTATTAGTTGCTTGTTAATGAATGGGATAAAAAATTAGGATATTATGAATTTTACAACACACCTTCGTTTATCTTCAGTTCAATTTGTAATGTAATTTTAGACATTTACTGATGTTTGTGGCAAGCTAATGCATTTTTATTCTTAATACAGCCTTTGGGACATGTGTAACTCGGAACATTCACACATCTGTCAGGTGTGTGTACCCCTTCTTCTTCATTGCATCACGCTTCCATCTGGATCAGATGTGTTCTGGAAAGTCATCCAAGAGGAGTTTCACAACACAGACTGGAGAGTCAGATTTGTGGCAGGTATGTATAATCATTTACATTCTGAATCAAATACATAATAATATTATTGACTACATGTTGGTAAAAATATGGGCAGAACTACCTTTGTGTCCAAGTACTAGCAAAGCCAGTAAGTACATTACAGTCTGTATAATGACTAGACTATGGACTGAATTGCCAGGGTGTGGTTCCTGGTAGGGCAGGATTTTTCTGTACTCCACAGTGTCCAAGCCAGTTCTGCTATGAATATGGTCCTCAGCGAGTTCCATCAACCTATCAGCCTCACAGTTTGTTCTAAGATTTATGCCTTTTTATCTAATTTCATATTAGACATTGTCCATTGTCTTAGTTTATATTTTATACGGTGTTTTAGAAACTTACTGTACTCCGATTTTCAGGATTGTTAAAATGCTGACATGTTTTTTTTATTTCTTACATTATACTCCTGTATTTTTTCTTTATCTTCCAGGTGAACATTTTTCAAAATGTTTTATTTCTCAAGCTCTGTATCCTGATAATTATGTATAATGTTACATTTATGTGTTGTTTGGCTGCTCCATTTCTAATAACATCTGGAGGCCTCTTCATATGCAGGAGTTACAAAAATGAAAGCTTATCAGTCAAAGAAAATCTGTGTTATGATGTTGCTATGGCATGTATTTGCTTGAAAATGTATAACATTGTCATAGTAGATGTTGACATAACATGACTGTGTGTGTGTGTGTGTGTGTGTGTGTGGCAGTTTATGCACAATTCAGCTGTTTATGCATCACACTAATATGCTGCTAAACCGTTAAACTCAGAGATAAAGTCAGCTGCATATTACAGTGGATTAATATTTGACATTTGTTTTATTTTCATAATATAGTCGAACGAGTAACTGTAATTGCTCGATTCATGGACTCGACACCTCTGCGGAGTAATCTTACCCTGCAAGCAGCTTTAGCCAATGCTTTCTGCTACCTCATCTCTAGTATGGATGACATTAATGTCCATGTGGCTCAGCGGGCAACACTGTATCTTGGAACAATCCATGATAATGCCATTAAGGTAATAAATTTGCAAAGACCTGTATCATTATGATAACACTACACAGCCTGTACTCATTTAAGATTGACTGATAGGAATTTGAAGTTTTAGTGGCAATGAAAATGTATATTTTGGTCTTCTGGGTTCAGGCCTTGTTGTAGTCTTGTAGATCTGAAGGTCTTAATCTGAAAATGGAGGCAGTATATTTCTCATAAATGCTGGTAACCATTTTATAAGTGTCAACCCAGAATACTTGTGGAGCCATTTGTTTTTAGAAATTATTTCATTTGCATATTATGTCAGCCCCAATTAGAACTATATGTTTGTCACCTGCAGTAATGTGAATAAAGTGTATGAAGTCAGCACGGAATCTTTTCACAACCCATTCAAGTTAAAAGTTGTTTAATATGCAAATTAGAACTTCATCAGAACAGCAGGAAGAAAATTCAACAAGTCAAGAATTTATGAGAAGTTGGGACTAATGTGGAAGGAAGCATAGCATTTGCTTGGAGGGATTGAAGAAAACCATGGAAAGTCTATGTCATGTCAGATGGTCTGTGACACTTCTGAACTGGATGCATCCAAGATGCAATTCTGATACATTACTGTTGTGTTAACTAAAGTGTTATACAGGACCCTGCAGAGAAGACTGACATATTCATAATGAATTGTTCTCAGTCTACTAGCCATGCCTGGTGGTTGATTGGAGGCACAGCTGGTAGCCCGAAAAGAATTTGTTATACTTAGTAGCCGTGAAAGCTTCAGATCATACATGACAATTTTATGTTGGGTATTATACGACAATGTAGGGAAGGAAGAGGTTTTCAAGGCTGTAGGTAGCATATAGCATGCATGGGAGTTGGCTGGGACACACATGTGAAGGTGAGGTTTCAGCAAAATGGTGCCACATCACATACTGCATAAATGAGTGTGGAGAAATTGTTCGAAATGTTTCTGCATCATCTCATCTCCGTTTTGTGATCTACACTGGCCACTAAGATCACCTCAGCCCCAGAATACTTTTTGTGTGTTTGTCTGATGAGTAGTATATTTAAATATATGGCCCATTGCTTTGGGTGAACTCATGGGCAGTATCAGAGAAGCAGTTTATGATGTATTACACTGTATAGTGGATGATTTCACTGATTGTCTTGAAGAGAGCATCACTCCAGAAGAACACTATATGTATCAGACTTAATTTTAAAGATTTTTCTTACATGTTAATGTGTCTGTTTATGTGATTTACTTATTGAAACAGAATTTATACATGAATGAAAATAGTCAGCCTTTATACCATACCCTGTATTACCATGACATGTTATTTCATGATTGTGTGCATATCGACTCTATTTTGATAGAACTTATGTTTTGTTCATATATATTTAATTTTCTAGTAAATTTCCTGATGTACTGATTCACCTTGCATGTGTTTGCAGTCACTGATGGTGTCACTGGAGACACAGTTTGACTCTGTTATTGTAGATCGTCCAATGGTGCTACAATCACTCTATCAACTTCACAACTGTCTTAGTGACAGGAAGATTCTTACCTGGGAGTTTTTCCTCAATCGCTTTGATGCTCTTTTTCTTGAAGCACAGATTAACCTGGAAAAATCTGGAGATATTGCATATCTGAGAGGTATTATGCTGTTTTTATAATTTCTTTTGGTAATCATACTTACAAATTATAAGTAGCTAAAATACCTGGTCTGTCATATATCTTGTTATTTTTTTTCTGTATAGATCTTCGTAACACAGACCTCAACAGTGAAGTATTTATCCGTAAACTTCATCGAGCACATGAGGCTCTGTCTCAACAGTCACAACACTCAGATGGCAGTGGGTCTAGTGGTGTGAAAACCCTTATTGCTAGTTTTGGTCAAAAATGGCCATATAAGAGAACTATGTCTGCTCCAGCTTCCATTGTGCCCAGGCAAGACACCAAGCAAGGTGAGTATCTGAAGCCCTGCACCACAGAACCAGTCAGCCAAGTACACACAGGTATGTTAGATGTAGAAGTAACTTGATTTTCAGCATATATATGCTTTTCATTGTTAAAAGTCTTTCCAGGTATTTTTAATTGATGACAATATGAAGCCTTTCACTAATCCATTTATTTTGAAGACAGGAAGAGTAGCTCCTGTGCATATTCAAAGAATATATGTGGTAATTAGTCATGTCCATGTAAAAAATACACATTGATCATATAGTAATAAATTTGAATTTAAACTTTTTATGTTTATGTTATGTTATAGCATTAAGAATTCAAAGGAAACTGAACATTGTAAATTATCCATGAACTTGTTTCTGTCATATAGCTTTCCAAGATGTACAGTATTTTGAGTGGTTAACCATGCATATTTTTCTGTGTCAAAATTGTGTTATTTTGATGTGTTTGTTCTGTATATCCTTCACTTTCTTAACCCTTTGCTGTACATAATGTAGTAGAATTAAAATTTGTTCAAGTATTAATATCAGTGTTATACTACACTGAATAATTTAAGGCAGTGGTTTTAGAACAATTTGAGAGAAAATGTATTGTGTGAATATGCATCTGCCTGTAGGTAAAGCTATAACAGTCTGTGTTAAAAAAAGAGCGAAGTCTTGCTGTTGTTAATTAAAACTATTGTAATCTTATGCTGTCATTGTTTCATGTGTTCTGTGATACATTCTCTGTATCAACAGGAATTTGTTAGAATGTGTGTTTACATTCTAATTTTATAACTTTAATTTGAAATTGTAACTAATTTTTTTATTAAGTGGAGAGTTCTTAATGTTTATAATTCAGTTTAGAAGTGCTATGAATTGTTTTTCATTCATATAATATACTTCATTTAATGAAATATAGTAAAAATCTTTTATTCCATACTTAAAGTTAGAGGTAACTGTATGGTGAGTTTTTAGTAGTAATAATACAACAGGACTACTTTGAAGAATACATACTGTGCATATTTGATATACTTATTCAGATTATTATTTGAATTCCTGTGGATCTGATGATACAGATGCATGATTTCTGTGGTAAATGTCTCATATTTGAGGCTGCTCAGATTTATTATAGATTTTCCACAAGTCTTTTCTTCCCTCATTTGTGGCCAAGGTAATACTTTGAGAATGTAAGGAATGCCAGACTTGGGTCATATTTGGAACCCACATTAAGCTGCATGCCGTTGCTGTCAGCCACCCTTCCTGTAATCAGAGGCGGTAGAGTCTGCTGTGGCTACCACCCACCTCAAAAAAGGATTTATTCATCCTTGCTGAGGTTGGCATTGGCCAGCAAAGTTGAATGAACTGGACTACAGCTGCGGGCATCAGACATATCATCTTGTAATCGTTTATCATTTTCAACAAGGTTATCTGCTAATTTCAGATTGAAATTGGAATTTTAACATTTAGTGTAGCAATGTGACATAAGCTACACAAGAAAAATTTGCAGAGCAAAGGGTTAAATATCTATATTTATCTTTAACCTCAGCTAATTTTAGATGTACTGAAGTGTCACTGAGCACCAACCTGTTCTGTTGCATACCTTATACCTTATGGTAAATATATTCACAGAATAGTAACAAAATATGTTCCCAATATTAGCCTTAAAAGCTACATGCATACTGAATTATTGACATAATATTAAGTGGTGAGTTCTCTAACCACTTGCATTATTGTTAACATTTCCTGTGGATTTTTACATCAAAAGGAATAGAATATAATGATTTTGATAGTGTGGGTGTTAATAAAAGTTGCAATTAAACACTCTATATCAGAGAATAATTTGTATTTATATGTGATTGTGATAATAAAACATGATCACTGTATGCAGATAAATGTTAAAAGTGGTAACATATATCATGGTTTCATTGTATTTCTTTGGTTAAATATATAATTATGTTTTATTTATTTTGACAGTAATAAATAATATTTCTTAATATATTAGGATCTGAGAGTCTGCTTTCAGATGTATAATGTGGATTATTATGTGGCTTTTAAGATCTGTAGTTAACCCTAATTTGGTATAGAAGAGCACTCCCAGACCACTCTGTATGTATGTTGTTTGTGTGACTGATTAATTTGCAGAAAAGGAGAAAGTGTACAATCGTCAGTATTCTGCACCAATCCTCAAGAGGAAAAGTTCCCGGTTTGGACTTGGTCAGTTCCTAGGCTCAATCCCTCCTAATAACAGTGTGCCAGGTAGTGTGTAGTTGGTAGATGTAGTGAACAAGCGTGACTTGGCGTCAACCGTGCTGTAATACGGTAATGTTTGCGGTGTTGTCCGTCCTATCTCTTTGTATTTGTGCTATGATTGTTGCATGATGTAGTTCATAGCAACTTAACTTTATGCAGACAATATTTGTTGAAGTATATAGCTTCAAACTATAAATCTTTATAGCAGACAGTTTACTTGGGCTTTCAGCACTGTGATTGCTTTCACAGCATTGTGTTGAAACTGAAATAAAAGTGCTGAAAATGGAAGTGATAGGTTCCTTTGAAACATTGATGTCCTCATACAAGATTGCAGTGTCATAACCCAGAAGGCTACAATCTCAATTTTCACCACTGAGAAAACCTTAAATCATGTATAATTAGTTTTATGTTTGTGGTTGAGTTAGTTATAAATCATTAAGGACCTAAACCTGATTCTGTGCATTTTCCTTGCAGCTTGGGTAATAATGATTATACTGTTTACTCACTGACCTGTAACATTACTTACTTCATCTAGCAAGATAGCTGTCTTCTATTTATCATCTTACTTTCAATTATTTGTCCTACTTGTCCTTATTACAAAGCAGTACAAAACAACATCAAATAGTTTAAAATATATCAAGGATACTAAACAGTTTGTGATATGAGCAACAAGGGTTTACAGAGGTTTGCTGTTTTTTGTTTCTGGCAGGTTTCACTGAGTTTGAGTATTCACATATTTGCTTATGAGCATTGCCTTTTGAGCTGAATGTTATTCAGAGTATGAATAACTTATATTAGGTTTAAACTTTTTATGCATGTGTTATCTGTTGTTTATACTTAAGCTAGAAATGTAGTATTCTGCTTCATTTTACAGTAAGGTTCACTGTGATAAGCATAAAGGTAGGATGTTGAACCTTGTTAAAGAAAAACGAGCACTGTAAAGGTTGGAGATAATCAATAATTGCAATACTGAAGTGAATTTCTAGCATTTATATAGAAGCATCTTGAACTAAAGTGTTTTTTTTAATTCTTCTGCTTGATTCTTCTTCTACTCTTTTAGATACTGGCACACATCAATAGCATGTACATACCTAAAGTATGTTTACAGTGTGATTGTAGTAGTCTGAAGCTAGTGCACATTATGTTACATTAACTTTATTATTCATCTGTGCTATCTGAGCACAAGATTAATTTTATATCATACTGCCATGTGTTATCATTCTGTTAGATCCAGTTAAGTATTTAGAGAACTATGATATGTTATTGGTCATACAAGTTGTATTCAGGAAGAAAGAGGGATGCTTTGTCATTTGCTGATAAATTTAACCTTATTCATAATAATAAGACTGCTTATCCTGTTTCAGAATTTTTACTGTTTCCCTCATGTTAGACTTGTAATTGATAGTAAATACGCCACAAAGATTTCTTTTCCACTTTACGAAATTCATAGACTGCACTTTTAAAAGAATGAAATTGTAAACAGAAGAAACAAATAACATTCTTTTGTTGAGTATCATCAGCTGGGTATTACAGAATGATGGACATAACGGTCACATTCTTTTAACATTGACAGCAGTTTAATTGGGGCCTAATGGTTGATTTACCTGCAGATGGACATATTCAGTCATTGAATGCTGGTAGTACTGGTGATGATGGAAACTTGGTTGGTTTCATACATCACATCATTGACTTGGAGGAAGCTGACAGAGAGACAATGCATCTGCTGGTGTTCCTTCTCATGCAGTTTCTCTCTAGATCAGACCAGGTAACTGTAGATACATACATACGTGTTATGTTTGCATGGTTACTCGGACAGGAAGTAATCCTCTCTCCTCTTGTTAGAGAAATATTCTATTCTGCGGAGGCTATTAAATATTTTGTGGACTTGTATTTCGTAATTGTATATGTTGAATTTCATGTTGGCTTGATATATGAAAACTTCAAAACAGGTCAGAAGTGAGTAAAGGAATACTGTAACAAGTTGGGTCCTGCACATTTATGTCCCAATATCTACACATGACACAATTATTCAGTTGGTTTTAGATTAGCATGCTTGATAGGTCCCAGAGCAGAGCACCAATGATCAGGAAAATTGATGAATATCATCTCAGGTTCAAGGATGGTTATGAATCATTGAAAGGTGACCCTCACAATGGCCAAAGACTCTAAGGAAGGCATGGGGGGTTGTGTGCTCTGATCATTGTCAGACAGTACAGAATATTGCAAAGAAAAATATAATTGAGATTTCAGGTTCTGATGCTGGTGAATATGAAGAAGACAGCCATTTTTTAACTGTATGAACATTGGTAGAAGTCTGTAGCTCCTAAAGGACTAAATTTTGAAGGCTCTTGTGTCTGAAAGTCTTCTTGATGCAATATATTTGAAATATGGCCCCTGTTCAGAAGCTTTTTATGCTACCACATACTAGTAGTGCATCTTAATGTCATCTCTTAAATTTATGTTAACACTTCAGCATAAATGATGGAGCTGACAGTATTGAGTGTTTAATTAGTTTACAACCTGTTGTGCAAGAACAGATAGATCAATTTGAAGTTGAATGTTTATTTCTCTGTTTGTGGTATGTGTTCTGGCTACTTTTCATGTATCATCAAGTCTGGGTACTGTAATTTACATATTTGTTTTACATATTCTGTACCAGGCATATCCAAGTGATGAGAAGTCAATGGCAAAGACCCAGACTATAGTGCTACGTCACCTGTACCTACTCCTTGGATACAACCAGAATGAGAGAGGCTTCCATGTTCCTCCACAGCGGCTCAGGTTTGATTGCGTGACACTTTATAATATAGTAAAATCTATCAAATATGGAACTTTAGTTGAATCAGAAACCTTTCATTATTGCAAAATCCTGGCAATCATAATTTTTTTCTTCCAAAAATGTTTCCAATGTGCACACAAATTAAAAACAGTGCGTACTTAAAATCTGTGGTTGGCAAAGGATAGCTGTGTTTTTCTTATCAATTTGTCATTAAATAATTATATTACAGTTTTTTTTTCTTCTTTCTTTCTTTCATTCTCCAGATCATCTCCTGTGTTTAACGTGTTTCTTGCAAATCTGCCTCAACTGCTGGACCAAAACCATTTGATGGGCTGGGTGATGCTGCCTACATGTGCCATCCTGTTGCAGTATTGTCCCTGTCCACATCATAGTCCATCTGCTGAGTATCAGACTCCAACCTATAGCTTGTGGTACCTGGAACCACACTCAAGACGGTGCTGGCTCATGTCCCTCCTGGTCTTACTGTATAAGGTCAGTACTAGGAAACTGAAACACACATTAAGCAGTTGAAAGGAAAAGTGAAACTTTGTATGTGTAGTAGGAAATACATTACATAATGTGCAAGGTCAGTACTGTGAAGCAGAAAAATACATTGGAGCTTGTGAATGAGAGAAGTAAAATTTTATATGCATAGTATTAACACCACAACATAATGGAAGAGCATACTGACATGCTTACAGATGTATTTAGTTTGTCTTTTAAGGCTGAGTGGTAACTATGTGTACCACCTGATTACACAATCAGTAACTCTGCATTTTATATTTATGTGTTTCACATGATTATCAGTGTATGCAGGGATTATTTCCTCAAAACAGCGTTAACCGCTTGATCTTTGTCATGATGAAGTTTTCTGTTTTCCTTGTACAGACTGAGTTTTTAAATATTATTTAGATGAGCTTTGGCTTCAAAGGGTTTAACATTCTAAATAAATGAGTAATCTACTGCAGTGAAAAGTAATTTCAGTTTTAATTAGGTTATTGGGATAATAAATGTTAGTGTGATCTAATTTAAATGAACAGTAATAGTGTATTTTATGACACAAGTATCAAACCATTCATACCTGATATATTTTCTGGTTTCTACTGTTAACCAAGGTTACAGAAGTCATTAAAAACAGTTTTCCTGTATTATCTATTTCTAGCGTATTGGGTGGCAGAATAATTACCACTCATGAGAGATAAGTTGGTAAGTGTTTTTGAACAAAATATCCAAAAACACAATCAGGAGGATATATAAAATATGTATCAAAGTGCCAGAATGTGAATTTTGTTTGCTTCATAATTTTGAGAGGCATGCCAAGTTACTAGTTACAAAAATTGATGTGCATAGTTTACAACTACAAATTACATTCACAGTACCAATACAGCCAACAGCCTCACTCATCAAATATGCAGTCACTGGTGAAGATTGTTCTCAACACACTAGATGCACAATATCACCAGTGCCGTCGCATCCCTGCCACGCTAGTGATGGGAGCCCCTCCCAGTCGTTCCAGAGGTACGTTATTCCAGCAGACTTGGGAGAAGTAGATTTACAGTACTATGGTGCCAACAAGTACACAAGGGAAAGTTAAAAATTAAAGACAGTTTAATAAAATCTTCTTGGGCAATCAGCCACGTCAACTGGTTACCGTGGTAAACCAACGTTTCGGGAACCAACTCTGTCCCCATCATCAGGGTTCTGATGTGACTGGATACCTTGAACATTGCCTGTGTATATACACTGGGTACAAATGATGGAGAAAGTTCATGGTATTATATGCATCCATCTCTTTTATTCCTGCCAAAATAATTTTTGGTGTAAGTTAAAGTTGCTTTCATATTTTGAATCTTGCACATATCTCTTTGGTGCCTGATGAAAAGACTTTTGTCACTACAAATTATGTTTGACTTAAGCCCTTCTTACTGAGCACCAAATATATTTATGTGCTGATAAGCTGGAAGAAGACCGAGTATAGTTAAACTTCTAGAGAGCAAAACTCCAGGGACTAAGTTTTCATGTTATTATTTATGGTGATATGGACATTCTGCATATTGTAGTGTGCATTTACATGAAGTTCAGTTTGTGCTTCATGTTACCAAAAATTGCTCATATCTCAGAATTTTTCATTGTTATCTGTATATGAGAAACATTTTCCCATAACAAAAGAAATTCTTGATCTTGAGTTGTAGCAGTGTGGATTAAAGACGAAGCAGTGGCATGTCTAATATAAGTAGCACATGACAGAAATGTATGATAGTAAAAGGTAAATTTTTTGAAAACTGAATAATATATCTGGTACTATGAACTCACTATCTTTTAATATGGATTAATATGTAAAAATTCATAAATGGACTAATTTATTACACAATTTCTTAAACTTTTTTAATTTTTTATAGTAAGTGATTTGGATGAAGTTTAGTAACACTGAGGTTTATTATGTAGATAAAGATCTTCATTAAGTCCAAATGTTTGAGTTTCCTGATCTGAATATTTTATTTTATTGATATGTGATATTATGTTATATTTATATTATATTTATGTTTGTTAGTGACCGTGCTCTGCTAATTAAATATTCGCTCTTCCTTACTGTCTTATTTTACTTATGTCTTGGGTCTAGTACTTGATTTGGCTGTGTTGTGTGTTCCATGTAGATGTCAGCCAGCCATCCTTGGGTGGAGATGCAGAGCATAGTACTGGAGGGGTGGGAGCATCAGATAGGTTTGAGACACCACCATTAACACCACTGTACAGTGGTGATGGAGGTTCTCATGTCTTAGTAAGCACCAAAGCAGGCAAGGTTCAGGCCACATATTACCAAAAGTCTTCTTCGGGAAGTGGTATGGAGATACACTGGGAAGAAACTGCCCAACCAGAAACAAAAGCCAAGCCTCATCTTGACCGCAAGATGCCCGAGTCAAGGTATTCAAGTTTAATATTGAACTTTCTACTGACTTCCATATTAACTTCTCAGATTTTGTCTTTTTTATTGGGCTTCATGAAGGTACTTGTACCATTATATTTATATAGTAGTAGCAGTAAAGTCTAATTAATAATGAAGTCTATTTGAATTGGTCTGTGTTTCCATAATATGCAGAAAGTCATGCAACTTTTGAAGCTGAAGTAATGACTTCATAACATTCACTGGTGAACATATTATTTATTATTACAGTACTTTTTTACAGATAAATAGTTACCAATTTCTGAGTATATTAAAGTGAGTTTGTGATTTTGTACAGGACTTAAAATAAATTGAGACACTTTATGAAATATAAGTGGATATTTAATATGAAATTTTAAAAAATACTTTGATATTTTTTCATTCGTCATTGTAGTCACCTGATATGACTCTCTGCAATTTTTTGCTGCAGAGAATGGTTAAGTAATTCATATATGCTTAAAATCTTGATTTATTTGTTAGCTTAATATTTTACTTGACTGTGTAGAAAGAGGGAAGGTAAAATTTGTCAAAGTTATAAATATTACAGGATTTAATTTGTTAAGTTGCACCATGCAGCATAATCAGTCCTGACAGATTTAGTAATCTTCTCACATTTTTAGGTTTTGAGTGGACTTATACTTTAACTGCTCATATCAGTTCACATTTGGAACATTTATTGAACTCTTTTAACTGCAAATGTCATGTAGTGTCAAGTGATAAGTGAATACGATGAGATGATCATGAGTGAGTAGATATCAATTTGAAAGGAAGGTACTACTCTCGAGTTATTTTATCACAAGAAAAACATCATAAAACTTTTATGAGTGTAGTTAATGCTCCATCTGAAATTTGAACTGTTTCTCCTCAAATAAAAATCTAAGGCATTATTGGAAAACCAACCTACTTAGTTTAGGAATTTTTATTGAAATATAAATACTAAATTTGTTTTATGTTTTAGCTATTCTCTTGAAGCTGATGAAACAGAGTCAGAACTTGCTGCCATTCCTGAAAGCCCAAAGTCAGATAGTACACTCCATGGCACCACTCATGTAAGTGTAACTGCAAGTTTTGCCTTTTGGTAAGATTGTTCTTATACTTTCATAACAGATTGCATATAGTTTATTTTGTTTCATATGGCAGAAATATAATAGTAACATAGGGCTTGAAATGCAGACACACAGTAAGAGAAAATGTAAAGGAAGAAAGAAGCACAGTAAGTATTATAGAATTATGCTATAATATAGCTAAGAAATTCATAAATATGCTATAAAATATTCATGGGCAGTCAGGTGTGTCAATGCTGAGTTATAAACCAATATTTCTGGGAGTGGCTCTGTCTCCATCATCAGGCTCAATGTAAAAGATGACTGAACATTGCTGACACACACCAGTCTGTCCTATTGATGACTCATCCATATTGGTGTTTCTATATGACCAGAGGGTGGAGTCATACTGTGCAGTCACCCCTAATTCAAAGATGGCTGTCGTCTGGGTTTTGGTATCATGGTAGTCTGGAAGAAGTTTACCATTGTTTCAGAGGTCCTTCCTGCCTCCATCATCAGGGCAATGAGATTGTCCTGAAGAGACTTCAAGGCACTAAGACTGCTATCTTTGTACTCACCTTTGTGAGCACCATATATTTTACCCCTTATTGACTTTTTGTTACAACAGTTGATCACTTATAAAGTTTAAAGTATACTCAACAGAATGTAAATCAGTTTTAACTCCTGGCATATGTACATTCTGCTGCAGTATATGTCATCTCACTCTTAGATTAATAGCTGACATTGATTATGTTAGGGATCATTTGAAGAACTGGTAGACATGAATGAAGCTTGCAGCCTGTTAACAACAGACGAGCACCTAGCTACTCATGTTCATCCAGTGACAGTGAATTCTGAGACTGCAAATATGGTGACACATGAGCCGCCACAAAGGGTAGTAGTGGAAAACCGTCCACATGCTGTTGGGGCTCATGCATTACAGCAGGTAAAGACTGGAGGAAGTGGGCCAGAACCCCTATCCACACACTGTCGTCCTGTTTGGTTCCTTGGAAGTGAAGAAGAAACTTTACAGGTAAATGTCTGTATTAGTCCAAAGTAGCAATGCCTGATTTGCATGCTGTCTGTACATAGGTGCTTTCTTGTGGTTTTGAAGAATCTTGTTTTGTGACATTTATATTTATAACTAATTCCATAGAACAGAGTCTTTCTTCAGATAAGATCACTCAGCTAATCAGAAAGTTCTATAAGGAACTCAAAGGTTCATTACTGCTTACAAAAGTTTGCCACAGGACACTGTCCTGAGGCAGGTAAATCCATTTCACATAATAGAAAGACTTTAATTATGCATTGGCTTTAGCTGCAATCTACATATTTCAATGCCCCATATATTTCTGCTATTTGACAATCTGATTAAATGTATAATTGTTATTGTGCTCTTGTGTATTTTAAACCATTATCTCTCATATGGTGCTGTAAGTTGTTAGGAACCTTATGGACATGATTTAATTCTCCATCCTTTTGAGATGTTCTGATCACAGTTTTGTATGCATTTTTAATCCCAAAGTACATCCAACTACCAAAATTCCAGCCTTCTGTAACAGTTTTAAACCTCCAAACATACATATAATAATTTACATTTAATCTTTATCATGCAGGAATAGGAGATTGTGGTTTGTGGTTTAGCTGTATGCTAGTGTGACACAGCTGGACTGTTGGTAAACTGTGATGAACAGTTGATGAAAGTTAATAGAATGATGATCAGTCTGTGAAGAGAGTGAAATTGTAAATAATGTGCTAACAATTTAAAATTTTACCTTGAACATCTGCCAATTTAAGGTAAATTATTTTACAGACAACAGAAAGCTCAAGTGAGAAGTGGGGAGTAAAAGAAGGAGTGAAGATGATGGCGACTTCATCCTTGCTGTCAGTTAGCCAGCCGCATGTGCAGAGAGCCCTGACTGTGACACAAAATAGCACAGACACTGGAAGTCCTACCAGCACCAGTAGTTCCACATCCAGGATTAGTGCCAGTGCAGTGGCTAGCAGCATTGCAGCTGTTGCTGTAGCAAGAACTATGGGGAAAGATTCTCAGTTAGTATATTTTGTGTCATAGTCTTTATATTTCCACAAGGTGAATGAAGTCTTAGTGACCATTTGAATTTGTCATATCTATCAGCCTTTCCTTTCAGCACAGTCTTGTAGGTAAGTCCATTGCCCCTTTTGGTTCTTAGACTGATTAATCCAGTCTATACCATACCATCCTATTTCCTTAATACATATTTTTAAGTTATCCTATCATCTACATACAGGTCTTCAGGCTTAAAAATAAAGATACTACGTGGAGAAAAATTCAAAATATGTTCCTTTCTAATTAATTGTCACAAGGAATTTCATAGGGAGTCTTTTATGAATGGATAGTGTCGCATATGTAATTAAATGGTTGGCAAGTGAAAGCATTGAGACCTCCCATAAATGTAGAAATAGGAGCAAGACATCTACTGGCGTGATTCTGTCAGAAATTTATTATAATGCAGCCTCATCTGTTTCAGTCTTACACTATGAACTCTTGTACACTGCATTGAAGCTAGGAATCACCCATATCAGCATCAAAATATAGCATAGACAAAAATTCTCTGCAGTCTTGAATTCTTTTATTTTGCTTTCTTTCTTTAATGCTATAATTTATTGTTTGTAGCATAGCACAGTCAACACCTGAACATGACAGGCCACTAGAGATGTGGCCTGAAAATCCTCATCATGGCTCCCCTGTGCCACGTCCCCTGGGAAGACAGAAACGTATGGAGTCAGCTTTAACCTCAGTATCCACAACAGCATTCTATCCTGGATCTCATGCCCCTGCACAACATCTGCCCTGGCAACTTGATCTTCATCCCAAGGTCCTTCAAAAACAACCACTCATTCCTCAGCTAGCCACTCCTTCAGTTGAACGTCTGTTACCGATTGGAACCACTCGACTTGGTATGTTCCTTAACTTACTGTAGACATAATTGGCCTAGTTTTGTGCATGAAAGCATAATGTAGATGGTAAAACAGTTCGAAGTACAGTTTTGTGCCCACAACACTAGTTGGCTGCACTATTTCAGTATATCACATGTTTTACAGACATGTTAGTTTCTCAGTACAGGTAACCTTCGATTTACGCCGGGGATGCGTTCCTGGACGAACCGGCGTAATCGGAATCAGCATAAAATGAAACTCTTTTTATAATGTAAATCAATGGGAAGTCAATGACATGCGTTCCTGGCACCCGGACATTGACGAGTAATATAATGACATTACATTTAAAGGTCTGAAATAACGTAAATAAAATAAAGGATATTTAAAAAATATAATTTATACACTTACAATCTGCAATTCGTTGGTCCCCGCGATTGACTGCGATTCTTTTATGTGATTGATGTGTACAGTCATCTCTACTGTTATGCGATAGTTGCATTCATGTAAGACGCTGACCTATAGAAAATCACTTAGTAAAAATAACCCCGGTACCTCCGCAGAGATTAAATTAGCCCTTTGAAAGTTTAAAGTGCCAGGAATGAAACTGCATAAGACCAAACTCGCATATGCAAAAGTTTGCATTTCACAAACAGCTTTTACCGATTCATCAATGCCATTGGAGCAAATTTGCATTAACGAAAGATACGTAATTGCAGAGGTGACTGTTTTTATAATTTTTATTCAAAATCAGCGTTGTAAGACTTACAATTTAGTATAAGAATCAGTACGAGAAACATTGTAAAACGTTATAAATAATAGTAAAATATATTTTTTTCACTTTTTGACTTGCTGGTTTCAAAATTGGTGTTATTCTGAATCAGCGCAAATCGAGGGTTACCCGTATGTACTGTTGTGGAAGTTTGTTGAGTGATAGAAATTTGCTACAAAATATCTGCACAGTGACAACACTTGTTTTGGACTTTAGGGCAACTTTCAAAACTCTTGAACTTTGGTGTCAGCCATTTACCTCTTCCTGGAGGGCGTAGAGGTTGGGAGATGGCATGGGCTGGTTTAGACGCATGGTATAATAGATTTTGAATTTTAGTAGCAGATCTTCAGTTACCAAGCATCACATTGGTGAATGTATGTATGACAGTTTTTGATACAAAGTAAAGTGATTATTGTCAGTGACCAGAAAAGTAATTTGGATATTGAGATGAGTGAGTATTAAAGAAAAAGGAGATGCTGTGATCGTGAAACAACGAATTAACATACTGATGCAGATGTTCTTCAGATTTATGTTAAATATTTATTATGAAAATATTCTTAAAATGATCCAGTTTAATTTTAAAAGGAAGGAAGTAATTATAAATATTATGCCATTGTTGTTCTGTGATATATTGTCACATTTATAAATAAAGTGATAGGCATGATTTAGAGTAAATTTATTAATTAAAAATGTTTTGATGCAAGTACTGGCCATCATCAGGTAAAAATGTGAATTTCTTTCATAGAAAAAAAATTGTTACTGAATTAAAGTCAGTAATTTAAAAGGGATACATTATTATCATGCTTGTGTATTTTAATGAATATGTTGTAAACATATTCCAAGTGTTTAGGTAAAATAAGTAACGTATCAAACACTAATTGTCATTTACTAGGCATATTATGCAGCCATAACTTCTGATCTCATTTGATTGTGATCAGGGCAAATGAAAAGGCATGACCCATTTCAGCAGTTTTATTTTTGTCAGTGTGTCATTTTTATTAAAAGTTATATAGACTTGCAATAGTAAGAACTTTTATGTCCTTTTTATGAAAAACTTAATTATAGGTCTTCTTTCATTGGAACTCCAGGCAACAACCTCCTTCAAAATTCTATTGTTATTACATACTTGTTTAATGTAAAGTTGATGTGCAGTTATTTTGCCTACAAATTTTTATTTAAATTAATTCTTGTACAGTAATGAATTCTGAGAATGTTGGTAAGCAGTGTGAAGCTCTTTTAAATTGAAGTCTTAGTCATATCATAAATCTATTAAACCTTAAGTAATGAATCACCCTTTTCTTCAGTTGTGTCATATCAGTGTTTTACTGAGACATCTGATGTTAAAACTTGTGTATAAAACTGCAGATATTGAATTAGTTACACTTATATGAAATAATTTATGTTATGACTCTTGTTTAAGTCAAGACAAGAGGATTTTGTACAGTGCATAACTTGAACTAAGCTAATGCAGCAAAGTAAAGAATCTTCTTCCAAACTGCACTGCTGCACTTGTGGGAATATTCTTTATTTTGTAACATCAGCTAAACTTTTGTGGCTGCTGTACTGTTCACTTTATAAGTTAGCCAATAGAATAGAGGTGTATATTTCTTGCGGTTGTAGTGCCAAGGAATGTGAAACCTGAAGACACGTATGGCTCTCCTGAGTCTCCACTGTCCAAGATGGATATCATGACAGTTGGTAAGCACTCTGTCAGAAGCTTGTTGCTTGGCCATGTCTCTGTGTTTCGTCTCCCAGTCCCCTGTGATTGTGTCCTGTAGAACAGGTTCCCTTTGCTTGGATTCCTGCATCATTTTTTTCACCTGATAATGGGAAGGAACATGGATCTGCATATAAACTGAATGTGTATTAGCTATAAAATAATTTACTTCAGAGAATACATTTTATTCTAATAGGGCACACAAGGTTTACAATAACCATATAGCTGAATTGGATTGGCTTAGGACATTTTCCACTGAATAGCACTGAGTGTGATGATGGACTGTGACAACATGATGTCATGCAATGCACCAGTGCAGTGTTGACTGTTTTCATTAGTGTGATGTTATGTTTGTCCTGTGCAAGTTTATAATATATGAACATTACCCACCTTGCACCATGTGACACTTTTAGCTTGCATTGAATGCCATCTTTTACCAAGAAATGTAATAACCTGCACTAATGTTTTGTATAAATATCAATGAAATGTTATGCACTTATTTGATCCCCATTCCACCAAAGGACAACCAATGGAAAAATTTTATTGTGAAGAATTTTGAGTATATAGTGATATTCTGAAAACTGGTCAGTTTAGATTGTAATTAATGTGTTTTATGAGTTCAGTGGAATTAAATTTTAAATAAAAGTCATAAGATGTTGCATACAAATTTCAGTTTCATTTAAAATTCTTAACTGTCTTCAGAATCTTCCTCTTAGAAACACAGTGCTGGTTTTCTCAGATGCAACAAGTTATTCCATAATTGGGGTTATATTTTCTTCCAGTTTAAGTCATTGTATTCCACTAACAAAACTTCTATAAATACTGGAATGTGTAAAATGAGTACAGTTTGGTAAATGTTTGCTTACCAGTTATCATTGTTATCCATGTGTACATAGTCTAGGTTGACATTCAGATAGCTGATGCAGGACACTGGGTACAGTCAAGGGTAATAATGGTGTGAGGTTATCCATAGAAATACACACAGTTTATACATGACTTGAATGAAGCCTGCCACTTATCCATGAGTCTTGACTAATACTTTCAGACACATTGAGTAATGTTCTAGCTGTTCATCTGCTATTAAATACCATCTCGTTTTTCCAACTCTGAGGGTAATTCAAATGGAGACAGTTGTTTTACTGTAACACTTTCACATCACCCCCCCCCCCCCCCAAAAAAAACATGCTGGTGATATGAAAAATATGTATAAGTGTAAGATTTGAGGTCTGGGTTGTTATTCCATGCAGAATGGCAGACGTTTTACCAATGTTTCAGAGGTCCTTGCTGCCTCCATCATCACTTTGATGATGGAGGCAGTAATTAATAACAATTAGCAACAATTAACACGATAAATTAATAACAATAAGCTATTTACAGATTTTAGAAGAATATCTGCTCCTACTGGGAATCAAACCTCAGTCACCTAGCCCACAGCCACAAACTTTACTGTGGGTCACTACACGAATACTTGAAATCCTTACGCTGTCTGAAGTCAGTAAGAGTGTCCACAATAGCATCAATCTCAAGAGCCTCCCAGTCGTTGCTGCCGTTCAGACCAAACTGCTTGGCAAGGTAACGACAAATAGCAGCCGACTGATGGGTCTGCTTTCCGTCAATCTCGAGAACTGGAGCCTTCCCAAAAGGCGTAGCTGTAAAGGCCAGAATCATTCATACACGTAACGTGACTGTGGGTATGGTTGTTGCAAACAGATTAGTAAAAAAATGTTCAAGGTTTTTATATTCTAGGATACATGCTTCTTCTCTGTGCCATGTTCAAGAATTTTTTGTTGACATTTTTTAAAATTGTTTTCCTTTAAATTGTTCTGCATCACCAAAATAAAAATAAGAATTGGTAATGAACTGTTCAGAACTGTGACAATGTTCAAGTACCTAGGGATGACAGTAACAAACTGAAACAACATTCATAACAAGATTGAATTCCTTTCCAAAAATCTTTATATTTCCTGGAGACAAAAAAAAAATCCTCTTATCTTTATGCTTTATCAAAAAGGAATGAACATTGCTTGCTGATGAGAAAATCAAATCAATAACCTTACCATTCTCACCAAAATATTTTCTCTGCTTCTCAAACATTTAATATGACAACAGAAACAAGAAAAATTGCAGATACTGGAAATAATGAGCTGGGAAGTTAACAGATAAGGTTACACATCTTAGTAAAACTTAACTGGGTGGAGTACACCCCACAGCATAAACAACAACCTGTTACTTTTATTGGTATGAAATTTGATTGCTTTGCTCAAAAGAAAAATACTGAAGGTGTCTGATAACATAAATACCAAGTACATGTGACTCAAGAGACAAACTGAAACCTGTATGAATTTGCTATGACTGGCACAATTATAAGTGAACACATATTCACATGATGGTACACTTCCAAGGTGGCAGTTTGTGCTGAATCACATACTAAATCTGAGAGGTGTGGTGTTATTCAATATGTGGTAGCTAAAGGTGCCAAAACCAGAGAACTTTTATCAAAGCGTGAAAGTCATCCATAAATAGGTTCAGAAGCTGAAAGCCAGCATACAGAAGTTTGAAGATGTCCAATAGCCAGACCAAGCACACAAAATCGTCACTTGTAACAGTTGTGAGGAAGCAGAATGCTTGATTAGGTGAAATCACCAAGCAGCTTTGGAAAACCCAGTATTACATTGAAAATAAATGTTGGTTCAGACCGTAATTGAGCCAGTAAAGACCTCAGATTTGGCATAATATGATCATTGGGTGTCACATCAGTTGACATATCAAAAGAACCAGATGTGTATAGACACATTCAAGGTCTTACTGGCCCACTGTGAAGCAGGAGACAATGATTTTCATGGACAAATGATCAGTTAAGGGTGTATCTCTTTCATCCAGAAACGAAAGGATCTAGTAGAATGTGGTGTCATCCTTCATTGCCAAAATAAAAAAGTTTTTAGTACCACCTCCAGCTGGAAAGTTCAAGTTAACTGTTTCCTGGGATATGAACAGTGATAGATTTTTTACAAATGGGGTATATATTAATGACAAACATAATTCAAAGTTTCTGAAGAAGAGTCTGAAGTTAGCCATTTGGTGAAAACAATGTGGATTGCTCTCCAGAGGCATCTGTTCACAACAAGGCAGTGTTCGTCTTCTGGGTTATAATGCCACGTGGACTTGTAGGCAAGTATCAACAATTTGGAGAATCATACTGCCTGCATCTTCAGTTCTACAAGTGCACATGGATTTTCATCCCAGAAGACCAACATTGACTTCTTCATCACTGGGAGAACCTTAAATCTGATCTGTTGAAGCAAAGAACTGTTCATAGTGCTTCTCCCTCATCTATCTTACTCACCAGACCGCACACATAGTTATTGTCATATCTTTGGACCTTCAGTTGATCCACTTTTATACTCAAAGGAAACTGCAATATGCAGTGCAAAATTTGCTTGACCAACCAAAAAACTGTTGTGTGATGGCACCGTGACATTGGAGGACATGTATTGAGAATTAAGGTGACAGTGTTGAAAAATAAATAGTCACTTTATTTGGGAAAAAAGTAGGCATTTTATAGAAAAATGATTTGTTTTTGCATTACCCTCATATTTGAGAACTGTTCTGAGTTATGTTTGGTATGGAAATGTGCTTGGATTCAATTTCCTGTTGTCTCACTGCCCAGTATTTTCATTTTACCTTGAACATGCATTGTGACTGCACTTTGTATTGGCTGTTATGGTGGCATTGATAAAACAAACTTGTGACTTATACCTAAGTACAACGTATACAAATACTTAGTGTCAACTGAAGTGTATGAAAAAATAGTATACCAAATTTTTTGTTTTGTCATGTAGACTGTTTCACAAGGATATGCAATGGTTGTTTATGTTTTGTTTGCTTGTTTGGTTTTTTATGACACTAGTAAATGCGGAGGTTATATAGCATCAACTGAAATATGGCAGGATGATTATGAAAGGAAAGTTTACAATAAAGGATAAAAATTGATCACGGCCTACTTAAAGGTACTATTCAGGCATTTACCTGGAGAGACTGGGGGAAACTGTGAAGGTCTTCTGTTATGATGGTCTGTTCTTGACCAGGATTTAAGCCTTTAAAACCCAGTGAGAATGATATGTACCACCTGCTTTAAACAGTCAACTATATGTGCATTTTGCTTGCGGAGTGTATATTGAGTTTCATATGATAATTCAGAATAAACTGCAATTACTTCCCTGAACGTATTGATCCTTGGAGGGGTGTTGTGTTCTTTGTGGGAGGGGCTGAATGTTTAAACATTATTTATGTGAGATTCAGTTTCAAAGAATTAAACCAGATACCCCCTGAATGCAAACCAAACCCAAACACATTATCACTGTCAACCTGCATATGTCTTTTAATCATGGATGACATGCAATCAAAATTACCTATGCCCAAATATTAAGGAGTTGACTGTGTTCTTTAAAGATTTTTTTTTAAATGTTGCCTCATTAAGCTATTAGTTAGAATAATGTTTTACTGGATGCATATGGGACTGAGATGAGAGAAACTCTAAAAATCTCTGTTATGATAGCTGGTCCTCTGCCAGGATCTAAACGAGCTACTTCCTGAATGAATGCCAAATGTATTATCACTGTACCAACCTGCATGTTTCATGATATCTTGGTTGACCTGCGTTTAAGATTACTTACACCCAAATAATCAGGAGTTGACTGCATTCAGTAAACATGTAAATATTCTGGATATAAAATTTGCCCCCATTAGTTGCTAGTTATAACAAAGTTTTGTTGAATAAATATAGTGAAAACTGAAAATTCTGTGGAGAGTGTTATTGAAGGTAGTGTCTGTCATTTGTGTCAGGAATAGCATTCGTGCTTCAAGTTGAGTGAACGTGTTTCCTTGTTAGGATCACCTGTTGAGCTGGACAGTGAGAATAATGTATCCTCAGAAGTGACATCCACATGTAGCATGACACAGCTAGAGCTGCCAATGCCTGAACGCTTGCTGCCCATTGGACGACTCTCAAAAGAGAGCATACCATGCCTTGTGGAAAAAGTGAGACAGGCATTAGGTATGCCTACAGGAGCAGAGTGCACAGCTGGACAAGGTAATAAAAATAGTAACAACACACTGAATGTTGAATAGTTCTACATGTAACCCAACCTACTCCAACTATTCTCAGGAAATTTCTTCGGAATTCATGCCATGTTAGAACCCATACTGTTTTCTGAGCCAGTATTTAAAAGATATACAGGCCTAAATTTAAAATTATTAGGTTTTTTGTTGTTCACTCACATTTACTCTACAATTTATTCCACTTCCATAGGCCACTTATGTTTGTTTGTAAGATGTATTCAACATGAAGGACTTCGCTTTAGTCAACAAATAGTTAATTGACTAGATCTGGGTCTTGGAGGAATTTTGACCATAATTATAAGTATGTGAAATTGAGTAATGACATTGAAAACCTCATAAAATATAAAATTGTGTTTTCATGTTCCTGTCTGTGATTTTGTTTCATCTCCCTTTTGTTAATTAACCTCAGAAATGATTTGCCAATTCTGCTGGAGGTATAATGCTTTCAGTTAAGAATATTGGCAACTTATACCAAATCCTAGCTGATTTCCTATTCACTCTCTTTGTAATACCATATTATTATAAACCTTGTAGATATTTTGGGATGTAACAATGCAGAAAGAAACAGAATGAACATTTGTAAACTATATGTGTATGCCTGTTGTGTGCCAGCTAGCATCATAGTCATACAGTAATGGTAGAATGGTTTTATGATCTTAAGTCCATGAGCTGGATCATGTGCAAAGAAAACTATATCTTGCATTGATACAACTTACCTATTTCATCCTCATCAACAACAACATTAAAGGATTAGGTCTAAACCTGTTTTGGCTCCAAACTTTGTTTCAATCATGGTGTAACAGTTCCTTCCTTCCTTTAGGATGGTATTCCCATTGATCCATTTCTTGTATATGATAATTCATTTGTAAGTTGCTGAATCTTGTCATTTAAGTTGTATGTCTCCATGATTTTTATTTTGGACACTGCCCATCATCATAGTTTGTTTCAAACACATTTTGAAAATTGGATCTGTTTTCATAATCACTGGGAAAGGTTCCTGTTGCACTGGACTCCTCAGCCCAAGCTGGTCTCAGTTGCTGCTCATTCTAAGGGGTCCAATAGAGTAGAAACTTTCCTCCCCCCATCACCTGACTAGATCATCCAGTTTCAAAAATATGTCTGAAGAAAACCAGAGATGATGGACAATGTCCAAAATAATAATCATGTTTTTGATAACATACTATTGTCAGAAGCATTTAGGCTCAGCTTGTTTTTCTCCATTTATTCTCGTATATCTTCACTTCTCTTTTAGCAACAAATCTAAGAGATTCCATCTTGACTGTCTGTGTTTGATTTTTATCTATCCTTATTATAATCATTGTGTAACTTATGTGTTTTGTTTTAAGACATTTATGGAACGATACTCAGAATTATTTGTAAATATGTATTTGGTACAGGTAAGGAAAGATTAAAAATGTAATTAATATTTTTTTACAGCAGCTGAACATCAGCGTCCCACTCATCTCAATCCCCGTTCCCACTTGTCATTAATGAAACAGGATGGCTTTGAAAAGCCAGATGTTCAGGTAGGTACACCACAACAGAAAATTTGTTTTAACAGTTACCGGTTTCTAATATTGATCCAATGGATAAAGCCAATCCCAAACCAAACAGTTTAGATTAGCTTCATCCAATGGATCCAACTGATTAGGTTGTGTAGCTGCACCAGATGACAGAGGCAGATCCAGGTTCTGGAACTTTGTGTGTTTTTAAGCTAATAGATGAAGGAAAATTCCCAAGAATATGCATCAGTTTACATAATTTTCTGAGTTTTTGTTATTATTAATACTTCCTTTTTCCTCCATTGACCTCTTATTTAGAAGTAGCTGCACTACATACATAAAAAGTATTGCTGTTATGTGAAATAATGGATTTGGTGGACATGTAGGAGTATAACATTGATATTATGTTTGTTCCAACAGCCTACATCTTCCACCCCACAGCGTGGGGTCAGCCCAAGGAGACTCATCAAGCAAGTAGCTCTTGACTCCTCTCCCCCACATCTGCAAGGTGACACTGAGGAGCCTCATACAAGGTTCTGTAGGGCTGTGCACTATGACAGGAAACCTGCTCCAGGTACACAAGTTACCTGTGTGGTAATGAAATCTCATAACAGCTCTGGATTTTTATGTAGAATGTGGCTGTTACTGTAATTCAGTATGGAAACAAGGCTATTAGCCATCACTAATGGTAGTGATCTTTTAAAGGGAAGAAATATAACCTTGCAAGGAATGGATAATTTTGTTGCTAGGACAGGCTTGGTTTGTTGGATGACTGACATGGAAACATTTTAGGAACAAAGAAGAGGTGATGACTGGACTGCAGAGTGTATCAGCAGTTCATATGTATTATTTTCAGGAAAGACAGAAGATCATGCTCACACTCAGAGACATCAATCAAGGAAAATTGGTTTATTTCCAACAGCACCACAGTCACTTGCAGATTATCCACACCGCCCTGGATCATGGTGAGTACTTTGCCATTTTATCATATACATTGTTCACAATATCTGTGAAACTTTATGTCTTTTCATTTAAGTTAATGATAATATTGTTATTGTTGTTATTGAGAAGGATCCTGTCATTTTGACAAAATTGCACAAATGTTTTGCTGTAGCTACTTCTTTCTTTTGACTTAAAATGTACAAAGTTGTTTTCTATGTTTGAATTACATTTTTTGTACTTCTTTAAAATGTGTTCTTATTTTCTTGTAGTGTTGTGTGTTTTACAGGTGTGGACCTAGGACATTGTTGGATCCTGAGACACAACAAGCTTGTCATGCAGAATTTGACTTGAGACAGAGCTCTTTTAGAATTGGTGATGAATGTGTGTATGAAAGGTAAAGAAATGGATCTTCATTTTTGACCCTAAATCTCACCAGATATGTTTCATTAAGTCTTTACAAGTATGGCAGGTTATATTTGTATACTTTGAGGGAGCAAGGAGAAGGCAGCTGTTACATGGTGTTACATTAGTCTTTACCAGAGCAGACTGACAAAAGCCTCTGTAAATCTAATTAGGATAGCTAACTGGTTTAATTGTGTTACAGATGTTCAGAGTGTGGAACAGTAAAGGAGGAGTACAGTGATGAAGAGTTAGGCTTGTGCATCATTATCCTTGGGACTTTCATCCATCGTGAACCAGCGCTGGCAGCCCCTCTTTTGCCTGAAATACTCAGTGTTGTGGCCATGTAAGATAAATTTTAATGTGTGTGTGTGTCCTGATATATTTGAAGATAATTATAAGATTAAAGACTTTTCTATCAGTTTTGATAAATATGGAATAGTAATTGGATAAATCACTTTGTTTTTCATGTATTTGTTCCAACAGTCCAGAACCTTTTTTTATTCCATCAGAGTAAAATATTTTCAGTTGGCCTTTACGTCATTTTTTAACTGCTTGTTTTATTTCATCAAGCTTACTTCATATGCAGTTTTACAGTGCTCTTTTATACTTATCCAAGATATGACTCTCAGTCAGCTCGTTAACAACAGTGAATGTTGGTCAGTGGCTACCCAAAACACAGACCATCAACAGTTGTCCACCAGCCTTTGAATAGCTTTGCAACCAAAATTTTCTTCTTACATATATAGTTATAACCATGCTGAATTATTATTCTTTCTTAAAATGTACTAGTTTTTACACCCTCTGGCCATGAAAATCAAATAATAGATTTTTTTTAATGGTAGAGCAGCCATGGTAAATATGTTACAATATTATCACCTCTCAGAATGCAATGAATATCGAGTAGATACTTTTGAGGGAAGGTTCGTGTTGTGTCTATCCACCATCATTTTCAAAACAAAGTTTACCTTTAGTTTTTTGCTTCCCCTTACTCTGTCTGTGTATGTATGCATGTTACAAAGTCTTGCTTGAATGGTTACTGGCTACTTAGCTGTTAAAGAAATTTGATATTGATAATGGACCTTGCAGGTTCATCTCCATTGCCTTTCCTGAGCCAGTTCATTTCAGTTTACATCTTCAGAACCATCAAGACCCTGGTAGTCTAAATGTGAGGCTTTGGACCTTTGTGCCAAAAGTACTGAGTTTAACTAATTCAAGTGTAGAAAAGAAAACACAGATCCAATGGCTTAATAAAATTAAACCATGTGAATTATAATCATAACTGAATATAAAATTAAGATTATGATCAATTAATTTATCTTCCAAAATTGTAATGCTAGTTTAACTTTAAGTATTTATACATTAGGTAAAATTGTTATGCTGTTGCAGTGTGGCACTAAATGCAAGCTATCCATGGCAGAATGAGACCAATATATATCTACCAGGTGGGGCTACTAGTGTTGCTCATCAGTTCCTTCGCTGTGTGCTTCATCAACTTGCACCCAATGGTATCTTTGTGCAGATGTTCCAGACTCATGCTGATGGTAAGACTGACATTGACAGCTTTCTGGTGAGGAAGTTTGTACATTCCACCAGCTATCAAAAGTAAAACTGAAAATAGAATGATATGGTGCTGGGATCATTGGCCACTGGTGCTAATAGAAAGGTATCTTTACATTTCCACCACAGAAAACATTACACTACACATGCAGCACTTATAAATTACTGTGGTAATAGGCACCATAACTATATGTTAATTATGTTGGCAATAATTCTGGTGTATATATATTGTGGGATATATGCATCTAAGACATTTTGGAGTGGGGAAATATTGCTGCATGAAAAACCAAGAACAAGATGGGGATTAGGAATTACACAGAAAAGGAACTATCTCTATCAGTGGATCTGTGAACTAGTGATATTTCCTTCAGAAATTTCTTCATTATTTGTTCTGTTAACATTATTATTCCCATGAAATATTTAATTTTATTATGTATGACATCAGTCTATTTTTTGGATTGTAGTGTTAGTTTTTATTTTCATGATGTTTATTGATACTGTTTATTACTTCTACTACTACTACAACAACAACAACAACAACAACACATTTAAAAAATTTGATGTTCCACTGTGTGAATCCAGTTCATTAGTCTAACAATTTTAACAGCAGTAGTACCTATTTGTATTTGTGTTTTAGACTCTACTCGTATGCAGTTTTTTCGAAGTGTGGCTCAAGCACTGTCAGATTTCAATGAGTTAAATCCAATAGCACCACTGCAATTGTTGCTAGAGGGCCTCAATTCGAAGAAGTCACTGCCAGGAGAAATGCTGTCAGTGGTGCTGCCCAACATGGCGTGCTACTTAGACTGTCTTCCTCTGGAGGCAGGACTGGGTCCAGGCTCCACCACGTGGAGTGCCCTCCTTACTCAGCTGGAAATCTTGTTCCGACGTCTTGTACTTCTACTGTCAACACTTGATGACATTGAGCCACTTCTCCGCATTATGGTTTCTGTCCTCAAGGTTCCTGGCATATCTGCTTGTAAGGTACTGGTACATTGTAATTTATAATGGGCATTGAGGACAGGTAGTATGTGAGTTGCATTACTGAGATAAGTTTATATATTTATGACATAAGACTATTCAGACATGTAAGATGAAGAATATTACTGTTTAAAAGAATTTTTCTATTTAAATCATGCAGAAAAGACGTTTTGTACCTATTAATGACTGAATAGTAAAAGGTTTTTTGAGTTTTTTATTGGTATTAAAGGTCTGAAATTCTTGACCTGTATCATATATCCTAATCGACTGAAATACTAATGGGAATCAAATATCTGAATCATTACTCATTATCCATCCTTATATGTACATATGTAATAAGCAATAACAAATCTTAATGACAAAGTTTATCTTTCTCCTTTTGCACAGGCTATACTTGATCCTTTCTCCAAAGTGTTAGGCTTCAGCATTGAGAATTTTGTGATGAAGTACCACTACCTTGTTGACCTCTGTTATCTCTGCAGCAGAGGATTCACAAGGGTAAGTAGCAAGTGTCACTTCCTTGATTACTACTCTTTTATACCTTCAAAAATTAAGAAAACTCTGGATGTTCTATGTGAACATGGAAATGTAGGATTTCAGCCATGAAGTTGGAGGCAGTATGTTCCTCTGAAATGTCGGTATACAGTGAAATGAATACACAGTGTAACAGTCTGGAAGACCACTATCTAAAAAATATAAATAATTTGTTCATACAGCTGTAAAAGGCTAAAGTACAAACGTAAATTTAAATGGGGTACTGAATACAAATATGACGTTCATATATTTCAGTTGTTTATCATGTTAACGTGTCAAAGGGAGAGGGAGATGTAATTTGGTTACATCAAGCACATGTCAGTGATCATCATCATGAAGTGTGAGGTAGACCCTGCTTCTTTCTGCTCTAAAAGAAACCTTCCATCTTATTTTACTGTGTACTACATCTTTGTGACTTCTCTGTTTGTATGTTCAAATTATTTTAATCCTTAAATATGAGTACATTTGTATGAGATGTGTATACTGTTTACTCTCTTATTCTTGAAATCTTTCTTTCAGGTTAAAAATGTTGAGTTCACTGCATATTATATTCTTATGTACATGATCACAAAGGCTATGACCAGAAACAGTTCTTAAAAGTTTCATTTTTGTTGTTTCAGTCTTTCTTTCATCAGCTCTTTTTAAAGTCAATTTTTCACATCAGTATGTTATTGGGTTTCCATAATTTTGTAAAAAAAATTGTGTGTGTGTATGTCTGTCTTGGTTTTATTTTATAATGATCTGTTCATAGTGCTACATGTATGTGGTTCCTGTCAGGAATTATTACTGTATTTTCTTGAGTACTGTCAGTAAACTGTACTGATTGTCTGAAGATTTGTCCTTTTACATTCAATGGTAGAGATTAATTACATTTTTTGTGTTTGTTTTCAGGAACGTGAAAAGTTGGTTCTGACTAGAATGGTGGTCTATGAATTGGTCCAAGCACTTAAATTCAAAACATCAATTCCAGATTCTAATTTTTTGATGCTTATAAATTTTGTTCTTCAGGTAATTAATAGATTTAAAACAATTATCATGAACAAATTTTAGAGTTCATTGGTAGAATAAGAGTTTATTAATTATTATTTATAACATTATTGTTGTAAGATTTGAGGTTTTCACAGCGGTGAGTATGAAGATTTCTGTCTTCTGGGTTGTTGCGCCGTGTAGTCTGGTTGATGCTAACCAACGTTTCAGAGGTCATACTGCCTCCGTCACCAGGGCGATATTCATCACCCTGATGACGGAGGCAGTATGACCTCTGAAACGTTGGTTAGCATTGACCAGACTACACGGCACAACAACCCGGAGGACAGAAATCTTCAACATTATTGTTCATTGTGCCATATTTCATCATCTCTTTGTAATTCAAGAATTAAGAGGTAGAAATTATATGTGGTGGTAGATGATTAAGCAATGAATTACAAGCTGTTAATATTGCAACCAAAATTGATACTACTTAATTCTACTGAAACACAATTCACACTACCTGTGGTTTATATTTATGCAGGATGCTGGAGGTTCACTAGCCTTGAATGTGATGATGGAAGACTCCCCACCATTGTTCCCTGATATTGGTCCACTGTTTAATACCAGTGCTTCAGAATGCATGCGCCAACATCTGGCTGACACTTTAGAATTCCTGGCTGATTTCCATACACTCAGCAAACTCAAGGTATGTGATAATAAGATCTGAACCCCTGGAACTACAAAGACTGGATTCACGTAAGTTAGTGTGAGATCTGACCAAGTGGCACATTATCATATCCTTGGTGAGGGGCTTAATTTGTTACACAGGACTGGCTGGTCTTGAACTAAAGATAGTTCAGTTTTTAAGAATAATTGGAGGATGTAGCAAGTTTCAGTAAAAGATTGTTGTAGAATTAACAAGGGAGTAATTATCAGTTATTGGTTGTGTTTAAGTTATAGGATATAACGTAACATTTGTGCAAACTGTAACTCACTGGTTAGATTGCTACAGTCTTGTTGGGGGAGAGTGTTCAGTTCTATTGCAACTGGGGGACTCAGCAGATGTAAAATGCATTGAATGAAAATACTGCTGACAAGTCATTGGTTAGACAAACTGTGGACAAAAACATTTGGATGTAAGATAAATGGGCCTAAAACAGATTGAACAAACACTTGACTGGACAAAATAAATTGTAGACATAATTTCTGGGAATCCAGCTGAGAAATGGATCATACTAAGCTATTACATAGAACTTTAATAATATCACAGCTTCAATAATATGTGTTTCAATCCATAATGAGACAGTGTTTCTTTGTTTTAATATGAATAAACAAACAATTTAAAATCTTGAAGTGGAAGTTGAATCTTCAAATATTCTTGAAACTTAATAACATTTTTTTCCTTTGCCTTATTACATTTATTCTCTTTATTAAGCAGATTCTATCTTCCTGTCATAGAATACTGATGTTTTCACATTTTTCCATATTCTTGGATGTAACTTGCAAGGAGATTGATGAACTTATTCATTTCTACACCATTTAGTTTGAGTCATGTATGTTTTGATACAGTGTTCATAGCCACATGAATTTTTAATAGAAAAGTTCTTTCTGCAAAACACTTAAATAACCATGAAATCTAACTTCAGAAGCTCCTAGACTCAAACCTGTTCGTGTTTTTAAAAAAATCTAATCACAGCAACATATCTACTGTACTTCCTAATGCCTCTGTTAATTATTTTGTACCTTGTTTAATAAAAATGTGGGTAGAAAAATAAATTAAAATCTGCATTGGTTACTAGGATTATTTGTCAGTGACTACAAAAAGTGTGAATGTTTAGACTTGTTTCAGTTGGCTTACAAACCATTGTTCATTTGCAGAGCTATAGCAAAGGAATGACTGTTGGGCTGAATGAAGACACATTGGGTGGAGTATTAAAGAGTGGTATTGCCCAATATCTGGCTCTTGAGATAACACGAGGGAATAGTCGAGATAATCGTTCTGTGGCTCGTTACCTTCCATGGCTTTACAATGCTCCTTCAGTGCTTCAGCAAGGGTAAGTTATCAACATACTGTGGTACTGTGTTGGAATGCACAGTGAAGATACAGTCAGTATAAGTTAACCGAGGATAGTGTGATGTAATGATGTAAAAATGTTCAAGACATGCCACATCAAGTGTCACCTGGTATGTGTTTATTCTACATTTGTAACTTATAATTTCAAATTTATGTGATATTTCTCACTACAAAAAATTACATTAATTCCATTGCAGACCTCGTGAATTCATAGACTGTGTGGGCCATATCCGTCTTCTGTCATGGCTGCTTCTAGGCTCACTGACACACACTGCCTTGCATGGAGGTGCAAGTCATGCTACACACTCTACCTCACATTGTCATTGTCAGCCAGTCCCCCAAGAGGCATCTTGTCACATTGCAGATCACATCCAGGTTATCATGGTTGGCTTTGCTGAACTATCCAAGGCTTCTGTGCTCCACATGTCCTCTCTGTTTCATGCATTTATCCTCTGTCAGGTAAGGTTATATCTATATTATCACTGAAAAAAGCTAAACCTTTCAGTTCCTCTGTCAGGCTTAGTCTTACATTCAGCAAAAAAGGATAATGAATTCAGTGTGGTGATGTTACTTATATTCAAGTAAATGATTATCGAAAGGAATCCTCTGTCAAACTTACTGTAGCAATCATAAAATTTAATGCAAAAATGGACATGGAATTCTTAAGCTGGAAGTGAATTTGTTGTGCTAATGCATTTATTTGACCTTCCTAACCTCTGTATATCTTCATCATGATGAAGGTGTCCATTTTTGAAGTGGATGTATGTATTTAGTGAATTGTGTTATCCTCATGATAGGATTATTACTAGAAGAATAGAACCAACTTTCCTCTGAACCATGGTGGGAGCCTGACAATATTTAACGTTTGTCAGAAGTGAGTGAAGCTTTCAAAAAACTACACTGGATGAAGCTGATCTTAAACATAACATGTCTGGTACAGAAGTGCAAGTACATTATCCCAAAATCATTGGGTTACCCAGATTTTACTGTCCAAAAGTATAAAGGTTTTAAATGTTTCTGTCAGTATTGTCTGAGTAAAGATTTGACTCACCTGGAAGCTGAGTGTCTAGCATTCATGTATAGAGGCATTATAATATTTGATTGAGAAACTTTGACAGACTTTTAGTTCTATGCTAGTTTTTATATTAGGAGTATTATGTTCATTCTTAATGCCATCTGACATGGAATAATGGGCAGCAGTAGCTCAGGCAAACTTGTTTGTCAAAAAGGACAAGTAATTCACAGCAAAGAAAAATAAATTATTTGCAGTGTAGTGGTTTGTTATGACAGAGAAGCAAAATATATAGAATTATCTGTGTTGATTTGGAAGGAGAACATTTTAAAACATGGCAACTGGGTCACTGGCATGATTGAATATTGTACAGATTTGAAACATATTAAGAGGGGATGATATTTGTAAGACAGCATTTAGCAAGAGACAATGACTTCAAGGATGAGTAAATTCTCTACTCACACAGACTCTACAGTGTGTAACTGTGCTTTACTTTTCTAATATATCCACCACATTTTATTAATTACATTGTACGTATCTCCAAGGAATTTGACTAGAGGAGCTAATAGTTACCATTTTGACATTTGTATTTTGATGTTAAGATTCATTCTATTGTATTAATTTATGCATGAATTACATTTTTAATAGGCTATCAGATACAAGTAATACATATAGTATTATTTCAAGCCCTGCATATTTTTGGCATTTTACCATGTAATTAACATTTATCAGCCATGTGTCGCACCTTACGGACAGTCCAGCTAGCCACGCTTCATTCTAGCATATTGCTAAACTGTTAAACACATAGTTAAAGTCCAGCAGCAGTCATTGAAATATGGGGATTTAAATTCCCCATATCTATATGATAAAGGTAAATTGATTGTATATGTGTGTGTATATGCTTCTAGCTGTGGACAGTATACTTGGAGCAGGGTGCATCAAGCAACTTACCAAGCAGTGAAGCTCACTCAACCACAATGAGTATTCTCATTGACTTCTGGGGTAAAGTGACACCTAGTATTCTGCAACTTGTTTCTCACTCTAAAGTGGTGAGTATATTTTATACCTACAGTCTGAACTTTGCTGTAAAAGGAGATAAATACAGCATGTTCACTGATAAACTGTTACAGGAACATCATTTTCAGTAAAAAGTTGATTTTATTGTTTTATGGAGCAAAGTCATATCAGGATAATCTTGCAGTGCTTGGCAGTGAGTTATGCAGTTTCTGCCAGGAGCTGGGAAGTGACAGGTGACCTAGACTGAAATAGCAGTCTGGTACCAAAATATAGCTTTCAAAATTTTGAAGCCAGTTTGTCATTCATTTAAGCATTCTTCATAACAAAGTGAAAAGTACTTATTATGCTGTGTTGACTTGGCAGTCAAAATTAATGGCTAAAAGTATTTCATTATATGTTTAATGGCTCAAAAAGTTTTTTCAATTTAAATTTAAGTAGATAAACATATGTTGCAAGCTTCTTCTTCTGCTTTTTTCTCTTTGTTGGGGGGGGGGGGGGGGGGGAGTAATAAGCAACTTCAGGAGAAATAGCTGTCACATCCTGAAATTATTAACAAACTCTCTGGATCACACTAATGACAGTATGGTCTGTGTTATACTGGAAGTGTACTCTTAAAGTTTTATGTTAATTCATTATATTCACGGTTTTATCAGATTTTAGCTGGAAATACTCTCCACATATTGTAATGATAATTGTCATCTTCATGGATTGCGTAGAGTTCCCATTGCAGTTCATTATTATTTTGTGAATATTCTTTAGGACATCCTGTGCTTCCTTCTAGTGTATGGTTAGAAATTTGTGTAGGAAACTTTGTTTACTACATTATGTGGGTTTCTAAATGTAATCTGTTTGTTGTTATTTTATCATGCACTTTATGCTATATGTATAGCTCTTCCCTTTGATCTTCATTTCTTCTTCCACCTTATGATTTTGGTATTGTTGCTGATCTTAAAGTCTCATTTGTGTTGTCTATTTTCCCCAACTCCAACCCTATGCCCTTAACTCTTGCATGATGGATAACAATAAAGTGAGGAATTGTACAAGACAGTAAACTCAAGTGGGAACTTTATGTGTCCCAAAACTTCTAAGATAGCCCTGAAATTCTTCTAGAGATATGCCAAAAGTGAGGTATTATACTTCATGTTGTGGGTACATTCATCTGAATTTTAGGTAATGAGAATGTCACATCCTTTCAGTTGGCTGAGATGGTGAACCTTCATTTCTTGAGCCTATTGGAAGCAATGTTGGAATGTAACTCATCAGTCCTCAGTAAGCTGCTGCCTGTGTGGACTCCTGTATTGTTCTCATACCATGTACAGGTATGGAATGCTCCTTTTAATGGACTATATGACATCACTAATACAACCTGTTAGGTCATGTGCATGATATGTATGAGTATATGATATTTGACAAGATATTGTGACACCATGTGGTCTTGTAGGTGGTTCCAGATTTTTGGAGCAGAAAGTAGAGGCATTATGTTCCTCCAGATTGTTTGCACTCTCCTACCCACACAGCATCACAGCCCAAAGACCAGCATGATTTTCACTGCTGTTAGAACCTCAAGTCTCATGATTCTACTTCGCTCTGTGGGACATTTCATATATGCCATATATTCTTCCAGTAAACTGTATGAAGAGAAATTAATTACTTGTTCAGTGACTGAAAACTAGTAAATGGATATACCTTCTATGCTAATGTTCATGTAAAGGTTACCTAATAATGGAGCTCTCCCAGATTTTATTACGTCTGTAATCACATGTGGTCTACGTTACTTAATATTTACAAAGTGTTTTAACTAAATGGTACAAAAACTGCATGCAGCTTCCAGGGCACCTGCAGGTGAGGCTCCAGGCTTGTCGAAACTTCCCCCCAAGCACACCTCCCCCAATACCTCCTGACAATCAGCACCAAACTGCAAGTAATCCAGTGCTTCTTCGCTGGCTGCAGCGTCTACAGTTCAAGATGGGACAGATTGAACTTCAGTCTTCTGCTGCCACACAGTTCTACTCTGTGTAGTATCTAGTGTCTGTAAGTAGCAAGTTATAATAATGTTTATGAAAGAAATATTGTAATAAAGAAAAACCTGTTTTCATGATGAGACTAAATTTGAACTCCAGCACTGTACTTTTTAACAGTTATAGCCCAGCAAGTTCCTATTTATTGAACATACTTCTGAACAATACCAGAGTATTGGTGTTTATTTAACAAATAAGTTCTTAGAATTCATGAAAACACAACTGCTATTTGTATATTCATTTCAAGTGCAAAATATTTGTCACATAGGTTGAAACTGTACCCAGAGCACATGCTTCATACTAGAGTGTTTTACCTGAAGGATATTAAGGACACTCCTTCATGAAGTGCCAATCTTTATTCTAGAATCCTTGGGTATAGCTTGCTGACACAACATATGTTAGTAACTGTCTTAATTTTTTTGTGGAGCTATCTTGAACATGGAAGTTACTTCAGTGGAAATTATAACTTCTTAAGAAACTGATATTTTGGCACATTGTAATTATAGTTTTGCTTTACTTTACTTTAATCAAAACCTTTTCACACTGCAGTTTCTTAATTTCCTGACTTTTCCCTGTCTGTACATATATAGCCAAATGGAAGTAATGTATTCAGGATGACTGAGGCAGAGGCCTTACACTTAAACTTGATACTTGTGTGTGTATGATGTCTTGTGTACATCCAACTACAGTGAAACCTCTATCCATCGTTCCCGGAACTATCGTTTTCCCGGATGCATCGTCCGTTTTGTTCGGTCCCGAATACATCCCATATAAAATAATGTTACATTTTCCCGCTTCTATCGTTCCTCGAACTATCGTTTTATCGCATCGATCCTTAAAAAATCTTAGTCCCAGCACACAATTTTCCCGCAATGATCGTTTCTGAGAAATTAAAATGCTGGGTTTTGAGATAAATTA